TCTTTAAATGTCAGATTACACCCCTAAAACTCTGAGATTTCATATCAAATATGTAACGTCTGTTTCTAAATTTGTGTATTTTCTGATTTATTTTCAATATATGTTATGTCTATTTATTACTCTAATTTATGACATTTTCTTAAACCCACATTAGTGTAGAGAACCATAAGATTCATATCAAATGTGTAACGCTTGTTTTTGGATTTTGCACTTTTTAGCTTATTTTCAGTATGTATTATTGTTATTTATTAATTCAGTCTATGTCATCTTTCCTAATATCATAGTATTTTAGAAATTAGAAGTATGAGATTCATATCAAATGTGTAACGTCTGTTTCTAAATTTTCGCACCTTCTGCTTATTTTCGGTAAATATTATCTTTATTTATTACTTCAATTTTACAACTTTTTTTTTGTTTTGTCACTACTTCAATCTACAAAATGTTTCTCAAAATCATAGTAGTGTACAACTATGAAGTTCATATTAAACATGTAACGCTTGTTTTATAGTTTTGCATCTTTTGGCTCATTTTAAGATACATTTCACTTCTATTTGACAAATGGTTGTTAGTCCGTACGTAAATATCGTAATTTTATCCTTTTTACTGATCACATTAATTAGATATATGAAGGTGCATAAATATCATGATCCTAAACATCAGATCCGGATAAAAACTATTAAATCTAACTATCTGCATATGGATTGTAAATTATATGGTGATTTGTTTGATAATATTCTTGTTTCGCCACTTTTGATATGTCAATTTATCTTTAAATTCCTCCACACTTTCGTCGAATCAACAAATTCTTTGATCTGATGTTTCATGATTAAAGTGTATACATCAAATATAAATTTATCTAATATTCCCAAACTCAATTTCAAGAAAGCAAAAAAGTATAATACAAGGACATCTTTTAGTATGTATAACTTGAGCATTTGAACGAAGTTCTGATAGTTTTTTTATTTCCAGTAAATATACACATTTAATCAATTTGTTTCAAATTTGTTTAAGAAGGTCTTCAATAATACTATTACTTCTCCATTCTTCTCGCGTTAAAAACCCTATTTTCTAACTCAATAATGCACTCCAAAGAAATATCACAACCATAAGCCATCGTGAGTTTATAATTGTTTTTTTTTTTCTGAAACTTTAGTTTATAATGTTGAATAGCAAAATGTCTCATTATCTTGACAAAGACTCCGGTCGTGGCTGCTACCTACCTCTTTTTTTATTTGTGGGCGATTCTAGACTCCATTTATGGGGTCATATACGAACTTGGTTCGTAATACAAAACATCAAAAAACAAAAATTACGGAAAAGTAGTAAGAATTAATGTTACCAAAAAAAACAAAATACCACTTTTGATACTACTAATTGTTACCAAAAAATCAATATAAAGATAATATATCTGTGACCAAAAAAAGTAATGATAAAATATTACCAATAAAATCCATAATTATTAAGCTTGAAAAGTTACGAAAAATGACCATTAGCTAACGTGCATAAGTAATTCTCCAATCGAATGACAGCATCTAAACTTTTTATTTCTCTAGTTCTTTTAATCTAAAAAGTCACAAGGTATTGATTTAGATAGATGCTTTGTCAAATCATTCTTGATTTGTTTCCTTAAGAAATGTTAAACAAACTATATTGTTTCACTACAATATAACTAAAAGTAAAAGCTTATATGTGTTTATCTTATATACGCCTTTTTCCTTTTCTTAAATTTTATCAATAATGACTATACTTTTGTATTCGTTGTGTTTATGCGTCAACGATTCTACGTATGCATATGTATCTCTTGGTACACAATGCAAATGAAGTATGATGCTATATGTTTCATTTCTTTGGCTTTATATATCTTTAGCCAAACTAGTTAACTTAGCTATTAGTAACTTAGAATTAAAAAGATAGTGAAAAAAATATATTATTTATCGTGAAAAAGATGGCTATAGATTGGATGCAAATTACCTCATCAGGCGGCCAAAGTCTATTATATTGGGTTATTAAAAATTCTATCTTCTTATTTATTTACCGAATCTTTGCTACTCTCAACAATATTCCAAAAACCATATTAACAAATCATATAACTTTCTCTACTTGCTCAAGAAGGCTACAGTAACCAAGGCACCAATTATTTTTAAAAAGTACCACCATGTAATCTCAGGATAAGCCAATCAATTCATGTACCTAAATTTTCATCGGTTTATTAATAAAATAAATCGAATATAAAGAAGAAGAAAAAAAGGCATAGAACTTCATCTTTAATCATAATTTTTTACAAGGATTAAATGTCTCGCTGCTAATTTATATTGAAGTTTATTGAATGCAATGCAACTCGATCTTAACCACGCAAAAACCACAAATAAAAAATGATAGAAAATTTAATTAACTATGAAGAAAATCCTATAAATTATATCAATTATTTAACTATTTTTAGATATATACATAATTTTTTGGATTTATGAAATTTTTTTTTAAAACATTAAATTCAATTTAATATTCGAATTTGCCACTGTGTTTGTAATTTACATCATCGACTTAACAAACATTCGCAAAATTGGAAACCTTGTCAACTCTTTTAAAAAAAAATTGGGACAATTGCAAAAATGTCACTTTTGGTATGTATATTTTCAAAAATGCCATTATGGATTATCCATTTGCAAAAATGCCATTAATTATAGATTTT